ATTCTGGGTTTGACGTAGTTGGCAACAGGGGGCCAAGTAGGTCTTTGAGCAAGGAGTAACAGAACGAACGTTTTATTTCAGTCAGATCATCAGTATGAGAAAGGACTAGAGAAAGGTAGATCAGTTAGGAGAAAATGACTTTAACCGAGGCTGAGATAAAGAAGTCCTGAACACAGCTGGTGGCCATTATAAGGGAGAGAAGAGATCAAATAGGACGTCTTTTTACAGGCATGGAAGAAAGTAGAGATAAATTTGCTCTTTGGGCATGACATAAGGGAGTAGCTGAACACTTGAAATAAAGCCCATGAAAGCAGCAAACATATTAAGAATAACAAGGCTGAACTCACAATGTACCGTGCAAACCAGGACCCTTCTCAGACTGAAAGGGGGCATTCCAATTACCATGCCAGGACGGCAAGTGCAGACAGGGCCGGTCTCTGCCAGATTGGGCCAGTCTTGGGCAAATAGCGATTTATGACCATCCTAGTGGAAAAGAGTTTTAACTGTCAACATAGAAGGTGACTCTTGGGTTCCTATGGCCAGCTTGATCTCTTGTCCTCTAGTGCCCGGTTTCTAAAAGCTTAGAGCATTCAAAGGAAGCCACCGTCGGATGATAAAAGAATTAACAGCTGCCCTTAGAGAGAGGGGGAACCAGCCAGAGAGGCCCTGCAGTTGAATCTGCTCTGCCTGCACTTCTCACAGTCCCCTTCTGTTAAATATGTCACATCCCAATTTGGGGCCCCTTTACTCACAGGATTTCGAGGGCCAAACTTCTTTCTAAAAAGAAGTCTTATCTCCTTTAAGTCTATTTTCTGAATCTCTATATCCTGTTTCCATGGATGACAAATAACTGGGGTGTGTGCGGGGTGGTGGCAGGTGAGGGACAGGAGGTGGGGATGTGGCTGCAGCATGGACCATGACTAATCAAAAAGTCACAGCTGGTCAGTGGCCGTAAGCAGCCCTACACACACCTGTGGTCATGAGAAAAAGGCAGAGTCGTCGGAGCTGTTCCCTTCAGAAAAGAGAAGACATGACAGGGGTCTTCAAGGAATGGAGGCCTGGGCAAGGAAGGAGGAGTCAGGAGGCCTCGGATGCAGATCCAACACCAGTGGGTTTAAGTCCCTGGGAGCAGTGCTGGTGGCAGGAAGTCATCGTCTCCGTCCCCCTCGCCCAGATCCGGCAGGGCTGGACAACCAGAACAGGTGAGGCCCTGGAAGGCGTGTCCACCCTTCTCGGCCCACCGAGCCCTTGTCGGTCCCCATCACAGTATTCCCGCACGGCACTCACACCTTTCACACTGTTAGGGGTGGGGCTATTTTCCTAACTAACCTGCAAGCTGTCAGAGGGTGTTGGCTCTGTTGGCCAATGTTCTTGGCACAGAGTACGCATTAGAATAATACGTGATGAATGAATGAAGGCACAAACCCACGGCCACTTTCTGTGCTATTTTTTGGTGTTTTCTGTTTTTTTTTCTATCCCTGTGGTCTCTGCCTGCTTTTTAAATAATGATTTACTCTCAGTGATCACCATGGAGATGGTGACTAAGATTAAACTTCCAATTTTACCTACATAATCTATTCCTTTCCTTTATTATCCTGAAACATCAGTTCCCTAAGCAAGATGAAATATTCAGTTTTTCTTAAAAGCGACTCTTTTCTATACCTGAATGGGTGGCAGAGTGAGAAGTACTAGTTTGTCGAGTTAGGCGGAGCTGGGTTAGAATCCTAGCTGTGGCCTTCCAGCAACCCTGGGTTAGTTATCGATGAATTTGGGTGACTCCTTCTACACCTCATTTAGCTTATCTGTGACACAGGAATACCAAACACATAAGGTTGTTACAGAAATTAATCTTTAAGTACATGTTTATATTAGCTATTTTGCCACTCTGTTAAGTACTTAGTAAGTGCCAAAACCATGCGATATTCATGCTAATGCATTGAATCCTCATAAGAACTTGGTGAAAAGGGTTCTAATATTATCTCCATCGTCCCAGAGGCTCAGAGAGGTTAAGTAAGTCACCTGAGGTAACAGAGCTACTCAGTGTGAGAAAGCAGAAATTGAAACCCAGGTAGTTGAACTTCGGGGCTTATAAACATTATGCTGCACTGACTCGCACGGAGGAGGTACTGAATGAGCAGTTCTCGAAAAAACCATAGCTGCTAATTCCACAGCATTACCAGAATGCGTTGCTTTATTGTCTTAGATCTGTTTTACCACCACTTAAAACAGAACTAGGCTCACTTCACGTGATGCAGAAGATCGTTATGTGTTCTGCCCTCAATATCACAGTATAAGAAGCAGGTCTGACTTTCAGGAATACGAGATGAGTGCAAAAGAGAATACAGAGTGATGTTTGTCTGCTGGAGTCCACTCACTGACGGACAGACGTTTGTTATGGAAACGTCTGACTTGCGTTTGTAGCCCTCAAAGCCCTCTGATGGGAGAGTATCAATAAACATTATCTGAAGTCATCTTCCTCATTCCTTTTCTATGTGTTTTTTATTTATTTATTGTTCTATGTAATTTTTAAATCTCGTAAATGTGTAATTTAATATAGCTAGCCAAAAAGGTTTTAGCTTGTCATCAGATTTTCCTTACAGTCTCATTTTTTTTCCTGACACTTAAATCTGCCATTTACTAAGCATCTATTATACAATTGGCATGCTACAATTGTCACTTGTTTATGTAGAAAAGAGGATTGAGCTCAATAGTTGCTCTCTGGGGGGCATGCTGGTCTGCCCTGGATGTCCTATTTTTTATTCATGTGCAGAGTCCTGCAGATGACAATCCCGTATTATCAGATTATATTATCAAGACCTACAGAAATACTTTTACGAAAATGCAAGAAATAGGGCTGCTCCATAATCATCAACAAAACAAAAACGAATTCCATAAGGGATGAAAATGAGGTGGTTTGGAATTATAACTTCGGCCGGGTAACAAAAATAATGCGAAATACTATTTCACCACATCATCCCATCAGCTTCTTATTCACTGAATAATAGCTAGACTTACAGCAAGTGGTTCCTGAGGAAAGAAAGCAAAATATTCCCCACCCCACACAGCATTTGTCTTTGGTGATGAGGGCATGAGGTGTAGCTAATGCAGGTAAGTGAAAACCCCCCACTTTCGATGATGCGTGTGCCCAGAAACATTTCTGGTTTGAATGAAGTTCTAGGCTTCTACTGTGATGGACAGGTAAGGTCGCCTTCTCCAGTCTCTCACTGTTGTATCCTTTTCTTCCAACTTTCAGACATCTGGTTAATTATACATCTGGGACTAACTTATTATGCAGCAGCCACAAAGAAAGCGGCAATTATTATTTTCACGGCAGTACGACAGAAAAGGCAGTGTAGCTTCCTCCAGAAAGGTCTCAGTTGCTGCACATTCTAGAAGAAAAGAGCACCACCGTTGGCCTCGTTCCTTCTACTAAATGGTGCTCGGCGAAGTGCACACACCTGCTCAGCTGAAGCAGGACTGGTCCTTGTCACTGAGCACCACACAAGGAAATAATTACGGAGGGCCACAGCTGAGTGGAGGAGTGAGGTCCTGTCACGTGGCACATCTAAACCTGTGATATATGTTTATCACCTGGCCTGCATCAGCTAAGAGAGTCAGAGTAAATTCTTCCACAGCCTTAGCCTGGACCATCAGTCTTTAAACACGAGCTTCCTTATCCAGGTCACCAAGGGCGGTGACAAATGACAGGATGTAAAGCCTGAACCATGTGTGTCCGGGAGGCCATAAAGCATCTCTCAGATGTTAACTCCTTTCTGTTTCCCGTGGGAACATCAAGGTGGAAAATTTGGGATTGCATTACCATCTCTGGACCTCACCTCAACCAAAGCCCCCACCCCTCTAAAACTGAGGACATGTTTTTAAAGTTTCCTCTGTAAGCACTGTATTCAGGGCAACTCTAAAGGCAGAGCCCAGGTCCTTCAGGAGAGAAAGGGAAACACAATTCTTTTCCAGGATTGCGCTTATAAATTCTCTAAATTCCTAGAAAGAAGAATTTTGCTTTAAGTCTGTGGGCATTACCTGCTCATAATCCAGATCTAGTTGCAAGCTCTCCTCACCTGATAATTATTGAGGGATAAACTACTTAAAAAAGATTTAAGACACCGGTTTCGCTCCTCTGTAGAAAGGACTCGAACTAGAGTTGCTATTTAAGGTTCTTCCAGCTCTAAAACAC